TGCTAGACAGAATCTCTTCATTAGCTTTGCCTCTGATGGGTCGTGTTAGGGTAACCACAAGTCCCTTGTGGAACAGTCAATACTGCTGACATGTAAAACAGACTATAACCTAACCTTAAATAGTACTAGTTATTCAATTTGTGCAGGGCATTTGACATACTATGAATATGAAACTTTTTTTATGTTGTAGTTTTCATATTTAGATTTTGTACTAATTTGTATTGGATTTACCAAACCAATTGTACATTTTCATGTGATGAGTCTGTATATATATATATATATATGCATACGTAACTATACATCAAAACTTCTGTAGGTAGGAATACATTATACATGTTCTTAGAATACCCAATGATATTTACAGGGTAAGATTTGACTTAAAATATGCATTTAGAGATATTTAGGATATTATTAGATAATATAGGGAGGGGAGGAGAGAGAGAGAGAGAACTGAAGCCATCAGGATCTGAAGTTGCTCATTCTGGCTTATTTTAAGTCTTACTTTTTGTTGTTTTCTGTTCCAAAGTATATTTGTAAGACACATGATAGTTAACTACAGATCTTTTTGTATACCTTACACACTTAGAGGCTCCATTGAAGGCATACATTAATTTAAAACTAACCAGTGTCTAATATGTATAAATATAGACCATATCCTAGAGATAGGGTTTTACAATATCAATGGGGAAATATGTATCTTTAGAATCAGGTTTTATATCTTAATATGTCTTGTAAATTTTGCCATGAATTTTCATAGAGCGTGCACCTGGAATGTGAGGGGACTTAATCCACTTTCCAAAAGAAATAAAATCCTGCGACATCTCGGATTAAAAAAAGTGCCAGGTAGCTTTATTGCAGGAAACTCATCTAGCAGAAATAGATGCCATTAGAATCAAGAAGATGTGGGGAGGTTCTGAGTATCATTCATCACTGAATTCTAAGAGCAGAAGCACATCCATCTTAATTCATAATAGTATTAACTTTTCAATGTATACAGTCTTGGTTTGATCCTGAAGAAAGAAATGGTCTTCCTGAAGATGGTTCAACTCAAAAAAGTTTGTTCTAGGAAGCCTTTGCAATCCAAGTGGAGGTAATTCTGAATTTTTCAAAGACATTGCAGACATTCTTTCTAATAAGAAAGACACTCCTGTAATACTGGGAGGCAATTGGAATACTATGCTAGACAGATGTCCGGACAAATCCAATTACATGAGACCCAGCACTCAAAGCACAATAGGGCAACCCTCGTTACTAATGAATGAACTTGATTTAAAAGGTGTATGGAGACTAAGACACTCCAAGGAGCATGAATATACGTATTTATCTGCAGTACATTCTTCTTACTCTAGAATTGAATTTTTCTTGTGTCTTCAGAACTGATTCCAGCATGCCTGGAAGCACTATTGATAATTTCAGATCAGGCTCCATTTATACTTACCATAGATGCTGGTTACACCTCATTAAAGTCTTCGCTGGAAGCTGAACACACTGCTACTAAAAGATGCAAAATGTAATTGCACAGCTGATTGTCTCATCTCTCACTTCATACAAGAAAATAAGCACTCGGTTACCTCAGATACAGTGTTTGGGAAGCTCTGAAAGGTGCTGTAAGGGGTGAATGCATAAGGGAGGCCTCCCAAAAGAAGAGAGAAGGACTCAAGTTACTAGACTTTTCGGCCAAGGAAATAGTTGAGTTGGAGAAAACACACAAGACGGACCCAAATAATGAAAACCTCCTACATTATCAACGCCAAATATAAATATAATGAACGCTTATCCAGCCAAGTTCAAATTTACACTCAACAGGGTAAACCAAAGGTATTATGATTGGGGAGATAATGCAGGTAAGCCACTTGCCAGAAGATTTAAGATGGAACTAGCCAACAACAATATTTCTTCCTTATTACAAGAAGACGGAAGGGCCATCCTGGAATGAACAGATATAAATAATCAATGTAAGCAATTCTATCAAGCTTTATATAAATCAGACAACCAATCAGACTCTAATCAATTGGATCATTTAATTGAAGACCTGCCTTTTAATACCCTAACTTCAGAGCAAGTGTTGTTTATGGGCAAAGCTTTCTCAACACCAGAAACTGAACAGGCTACAAAAAACCATGAACTCCAGCAAGGCCCCTGGGATGGATGGCTGCCTTTCTGGCAGATTTCTACAAAACATTCTGTAATCAGCTCTCTTCTATTCTTTCAAAGGTCTTCACTGAAACATTCCAAAAGAGAACCATGTTTCAGAACACGAAAACTGCTTTAATTACTTTCATATTAAAGAAGAACAAGGATGGTCACAACGGTGTCAACTTCCGTCCCATATCTCTATTCAACACAGATTGCAAACCAATTGCAAAAATTTTAGCAGCCACATCCCATCAATTACACACGCAGATCAGGGTAGTTTCCTGAAAGGAAGCCTGGCTGCTGAGAATAGATGCAGAGAAGGCCTTTGATAGGGTTGAATGGCCTCATCTAATAGCTGTCCTAAAAAAAATCGGATTTGGATCAATATTCCTGAATTGGCTGAGTGTATTATACCACTCTCCCCTCACTGCACTATCGACGAATGGAATTATTTCTCCCATATTTCAGCTAGAAAGGAGGGACACAACAGGGCTGTCCCCTCTTGCCTCTCCTTTTTTATCTCTCTCTTGAGCCACTGGCAATATCCGCAGTCACTGAAGGTGTGATTATAAACAGGAAAGAATACAAAATCAGTTTATATGCTGATGACATTTTTGTACTATTGAAGAATCCCTCCTCATTAATCTCATCATTATATAGAGTGTAGCGTACATTTCTGGAGACCTCTGTTTTTTGCAATAACTGGAATAAATCACAAGCAACGAATGTATCCAAAAGACCAGATCCTTCTCAGTCTCAGCATTTTCCATTTCCAAGATGCAAGGAAATAACTTATTTAGGTGTTTTGTCCTAATCTTCCCCAAATTGTTTCTATAAATATGGACTACATATAAAAACAACTGTCCAAGGATGTAGGGAGGTGGCGTCTCCTCCCTATATCCTTACTGGGGAAAATAGAAATAGCCAGAATGAATATCTGCCATATATTGATTGTATATCATTAGCCTGTGGCCTTTCAAGGTCTCTCCCTCACTCTTTGCTCAAATAAATAGGCTTATCATGCAATTTATACAAGATAAAAAACAGCCTCACTTGTCACACAAGCCCCTTAAAAATAGCGGGCAACTGGAGGTTTGGAGTTGCCAGATCCGTAGCTATATTATCTAGCATTCCAAATGCGTCCTATTATATATGCTCTGCATACCGGCCTGGTTTGAGATAGAAAAAAGCTTAGCTGTGCTATTTGGTTCCCTCTCTTCTTTTATATACCTTAAGAGGCTACCCACGCCCTTAGGGAAAAGTCCAATCTTTGCATCTACATGGAGCATCCTGCAATGCACTACAATGATCACAGCATCCGAGCTTACTAATTCTCTTCTCGTACCACTATGGGATAACCCATGCATCAGGATCAAGGCCAACTCCATGCTTAAGACAATTTGGATAGAAAAAGGATTAACCAAAATTAAAGATATAACACAAGATGATAGACTGGCCTCCTTTGATTAAATATGTAACAAATATCCGCTTTTACTGTTTCACAGGTTCCTCTCTCAGCAGCTGTGCTCAAGGATTCATGCCAGAATAGGGACAATTGGTCCTTTTCAACTCTTTCACCTCTAGAAGAGGATGTTAAGAAATATGGAAATAAACGTCATTTTGTAGGAATTATTTAGATGGCTTAATGCTTTGCGGTACCCTCTCAATCTCAGTCTCAAAGGAAAATGGGAAAACGAACGTATCCTCCCAGGTTTCCGTTGTGAGAATAAAGGCTATCTGTATTAATGCACAAGATACTTCAAGTTCTTTATCCTTATGATTCTTCCAGAACAAGATATTAAACAGGCAGGACTGGATTCCAGATCATGTGTTTAAGGCAACGCACAGCGAATACTGGATAGGCTAACAGCCACATGCCAACCTTTCGCACATCTTCTATATCTGTCCAGAAATGCACATGTTCTGGAACTCCATATTCCAGTGCTCTCTCAAAAACTTTACATGGTCTCTTTCCTTCTTCAAGCCTGTGTATTTGAGGCATGATGAATGAGTTGTTGTTACCAGTAAGAAATGGATTGCAGTCACTATTTTAGTGGCCAAAAGAGTTAATTTTGAGAAATGGAAATCTGCAATTCCTCCTTTATTTACAGACTGGCTTAGTGACCTCCCTCCTACTGCATTAATGGAAAAAATGACTCTGTCTAATAGAAACACTTAGGAAAAGTATGAGGCTGTCTGGTCACACACGAAATGATTGCATACTTTTGCAGTTGAATATATATTAGTTCCTGTTACTCATAGATTATGTTCTCATTTATCTAATTAGTCACTTTACTAACTGATGCCCTGCATGACCTGGATGAGTTCAGGGTTCCCCGCCCCCGCCAGGTTTTGCAAATAATGAAGGTTAAATTTTGTTCCGAGAGATTATTTCTATCTGGTGCGTGTATTTATATATGTTTTGTTTCGTTGTGTGTTTATATTTTTGATAAAAACAAGAAGAAAAAGAAAGACAGAAACTCAGTTACACACACACGGTATTACGGCCACAGGGGGGCACAGGCGAGTCCAACGGTGCCAGCTCCTTCAGCTGGAAAAAAGGGTAATTAATGCTGATTACTGCACCAAGCGTGCTGGGTGTTTTACTGGCAGGAGTGAAGGCAGGGATCCTGCTCAGAGGACCTGGCAATCCATGGCGATGGCAGCCCGGACACCTCCACACTCACCCGCTGGTCTTTTTTGGCAGGGGTTTCAACATCATCTTCTTCGGCAGGGATTTCAGAGTCATATTGGTCTCAGAGATGGGGCCAAAGGTCGTCTGAGGTTTCTCTGGGGTGTAACACAAACATGCAGAGAGGGTCAGAGGCTCTTCTCCTCCCTCCTACTTTAAACCTCCTTTGATCCCAGAGCTTGGGACCGGAGACAGCTTTAAGGAGGAGGGTGGCAAGAGGAAGGCCACTATACAGACTCAGAAAGAACCCCTGAGTGATGCGCTGCTATGCAAGCACTTAGCTGCTTTGTGCCTCCATTTTCCCCATCTGTACAATGGGGATAATGGCACTCTCCTCCCTCACGAGGGGGGTCATGAGAGAAAATATATTAATGCCTGGGAGGTGCTCAGATTTTACGGGCAATGGGGCTAGATAAGGGGTGGGGGGGGGACTAAGAGCTAGTTTCCCTGTTCTTTCCCAGTTACCTCACCTCATGGGTCGGGGTCATCAGCTCTGTGACTTGGATCCAGAATCATGAGGTATTCCGAGCTCTCCGGAGCCTTGACTTCCCCCCCATGAGATACCGATCTCACTGGGGCTTCTGCCAAGCAGCTAAACTTGCAGTGACACACCTGAAATATGGCCTCGGTACTGCCCAACCCTGACTGACTAGTGTCTTAAGTCCCCATTGTTGTGCAAGAGGTAGCGTAAAAAAGGTTAAACGATGGTTAACGAAGCACAATCAACTTCGGGATGCCCAGGAAGTAGTAATCGCCACAAGCTTCATTCAACTCACCGGCCCCCAACCCTGCTCAGCCATGGGCATTAGACCATGTGATTATGACCTCACCACACTATGGGCCCAGACAATCCGTAACCCCCAGCAACACTTGTGAACCAGAGAGGCTTTTTGCCTGTTTTACGGCATGCCTGAGAGACAGACACCAGAAGCTATTCAAGAGACACCAACCTCTACCCAGACATTACCATCTCTAAGCACGTCACTATGGGGAATTGCCGGAGGGCGATGGAACAGTGACCAGGGAGCTTAGCAGCAGACAGAGTCAGATGGGTACCCAGAAGTCACCTACTCCAGGACGGGTCCAACAAAGAAAGTAACAGAACGCCACTAGCTGTCACCTATAGTCCCCAGCTAAAACCTCTCCAGCGCATCATCAAGGATCTATAACCTATCCTGAAGGACGATCCCTCACTCTCACAGATCTTGGGAGACAGGTCAGTCCTCGCTTACAGACAGCCCCCCAACCTGAAGCAAATACTCACCTGCAACTACACACCACACCACAGAAACACTAACCCAGGAACCAAACCCTGCAACAAACCCCGGTGCCAACTCTGTCCATGTATCTATTCCAGGGACAGCATCATAGGACCTAACCACATCAGCCACACCATCAGGGGCTTGTTCACCTGCACATCTACCAAAGTGATATATGCCATCGTGTGCCAGCAATGCCCCTCTGCCATGTACATTGGCCAAACCGGACAGTCTCTACGCAAAAGAATAAATGGACACAAATC